CCTTTCAGATTTTCGCATCACCTGCACATTTTTCCCGAGGCTTTGCCCGCGTTGGAGGAGCAACCCTTTCTGTTTTCATCGGCTCCGCAACCACAGTAAGGGTACCGGAAGCAAATGAGACACTTTTTGGTCCTACCTTGGTGGCCTTTGGTTGTAAATAATAATGATGATAATGAATGCCTTTTTACTTCCTTTTTTATTTATTGAACATACAAATGTACATTCAACAGTTAAATGCTGCTTCTCTCATCTGTTCGCTTCTCTCCGTGACACCGGTATCCTCACGGATGCCTCCCAAGGCCTGTTTGAGTACTGACGGACATTTGTGGCTATTTGTATTTTCAAAACAAATACGTATGATCGTTGCAGGGGAGTCTAAAATGGACAAAAATACAGGAAGAAGGGGAAGTTGATCCTTCCCATCGGAATTATTATCGTCAGTTCGATAGCCCTTTTGTCTTTGTGAACTAGAATAGACCATATAAGTGGGACATGAAACATTTTTATAAGTCTATTTTAGCAGAAATGAGCGAAAGATTAAACATGATTTTCTAATGGTAATGAAATATTTGAAAATTAGAATCAATTGGCTACTGTATATATTGATCTTTCAGTGATTTCGTTTATTCTGGTTTGCTAATTGCTCTTGAAGATACAAAGATTAGTTTCATGTTCAGGAACCGAATAATACGCTGTCAGAGAGCATATGCATAACAGATAACTTATTGCTTTGCTGGAATTTAATATCTGTCCAGAAGGAATATTCACTCGTTATGCAAAAACTGTCCGGTTGTTTCTTTCTTCTGATCTTTTTTAGCCGAAGAGTCATGTCACAGATTCAACTGCAAAAGTTCCAGATAGGCATATTGCGTTGTTTTTCTATACCACCATCACTAGCGGGCAGTTTCATTCCAGTTTTGACATTCCGAAAATCGAACAGCACATGCAACTCTGCTTCGCCCTAAAAAATATTACATTTCGCAGGACAGAACATACCAGTTCAACTATCAGGCGCCACGAGCTGATGCATTTTTCTAATATGTGTGTAATCCACTGCCAGGAAACCGAATCGAATGCAAAGCCTATCATCTGAATCACTTCACACATAAACACTAGTTATGTCACTCAACCGGCATCTTGATTTATTCAGTCGCTCACTCACACGAGTAAGTTTCAACTCAGGCCGCACTGAGTGATCTGTTGACATAGTATTGAAAATCGATTCTCGTAGCTCGGGTGAACTGACTTCTACCTCGCCTGTTCGCCGAGCTTGGCAATTTATTTGCAAACGTTTCATCACCAGCCGAGGTGGCATCATCACCTTACAAGCACTGATGATGTCACCTCGGCTGGTGATGATGAAACAAACAAACAAACTGCCAAGCTCGGCGAACGGGCGAAATAGAGCTGATTGATCTCTCTAAAGAGAGAGAGATAGTGCGTATGTCTATACGGATTAGGGTTGAAACCATTAACATGACATCCCCACACCAGACAACTGTAATGTATAAGCTGTACACATTCCGCACCACTCTTCCCCCATACACACAAAAAATAGTATGACAATTCTAAAACAAAGATGCTGCATTTCAAGAGGTCGTGTCACCAAAGAACTCTCGTTTAGTGTTTCCAACAAATCTCCTTTGACAGCTGAGTGCACTTCTTATTTATATTCATATTCAAAATGGAACCTAACTGGTCATCATATATTTTTTCTATATATTACCCCGAAAAGAAGCGTTTTCGCAAATAAATCCGTGCTTGTGGTCCGAATGTGGTTCATAACAGACGGATCCCTCACTTTAGTTCAGCGTG